AGTGATTAGAACTCCTTTGAGAAATGACTGACTCTAGGTCTGGGGCAGAAAATGTTCAAAAAATTTTTGGAACTTTTTGTCATGCCTGAAAGTAAAGAAGCTATCAAAGAGTACTAGGATTGTATCAAAAGATCTCACAAATTGGTTCCTCCTTCTGAAAATAAAAACCCACAGCCCTTTCAGGTTATCCTAAATTAAAAAATCTCCCAAACTAATTTCATTTGGCTCCTACAGCTCAAAGGTCAGACATTTAAAATATCCATAAGGATGATGTTTGCAAGAGACTGAAACATCAAATCATTTTAAATTCATAAAGATTTTTTTTAATCTGGCAAATTAGGGGAAAGAACCAAGCATTAATTATGCCTTTCTATATGAAATCTACTTTACATTAAGCAAATCACAGTGAGGGAAAATTTCTATTTATAAAAGCATTCCACTTAATGAGTGAATAAATGATGTTAGAATTAGAATATCTGCCAATCTGCCACACAAATGAATTAATGGAGCTCATCATAATCATCAATGATTGCTGACATCCCAGTAAAAAACCAGCATCCTGCTCTGGCCTGTGTTGCCTAATGGTCACAGTGGCGGCCCGTGGACCAAAGGTTGGTCTATGGGTTTGATTCCCGGTCAAGGGCACGTACCTGGGTTGCAGGTTCGATCCTCGTCCTGGTCCAGGTCAGAGTGCATGTAGGAGGCAACCTCTCTCTCACATCAATGTTTCTCTCTCTCTCTCATCTTCTCCCTCGCTCCTTTCCACTCTCTCTAAAAAAAAATGTCAATGCAAAAATATCCTCAGGGAGATTTACAAAACAAAACAACAATAAAATTAGCATCCCATGCTTCCTGATGAAACACAACATCACCATGTAGGATGTGGTCTGACCAAGATTGAACTTGAATCTGATCAAGCCTCTAATTTGGATCCTTATTTTCCAAAAAATGCAGGAAGACAGAGGAACATGTTAAATGATTACCATGGGAATGAAATTAGCAAAATTCAGTCTGTGAGAAACCTTATAGGACAAAAAAAACAACAAAACAAAAACAACTCAGTTCTTCAATTTTAAAAATTGCAAGAAAAACAATGGAGGAGGGAACTATCGATTAAAAGAGACATAAAAGACAAAACCATTGTTCCAGCTATCTAAACTTATGTAACAAATCACTCCCAAACTCAGTGCCTCAAAACAGTAACAATATTAAATTTGCTCATCAACCTGTAACTTGGGACGGGATCTTCAGGGTAATCATCTTTGCTCCACCCAGTTAGCTGGGATGACAGGAAGGTTTGGGACGGTAATAATCATATCTATGTAACCTGTGTGCCTTTTTATTACACTCAGCCTTGAAATGCTACTTAACTGTTTCATGTGACTAAGGTTGTCTCCCAACTAAGCTCTGGAGGAGAAGGACTGGATTGTACATGTTTTTTACATTCTCTTTGATGCCCAGATGCTATGGTCTGAATGTTTGTGTTCCCCACCCCCTCAAATTCATATGTCGAAACCTCATCACCAATGTGATGGTGTTTGGACATGGTTAGGTCATGAAGGCAGAGCACTCATGAATGGAAGGAATTAGTGCTCTTATAAAAGGAGCCCCAGAAAGAGCCCTCACCCCTTCTGCCATGTGAGTTCACATTAGAATATGCTGTTTAGGAACCAGGTGGTGGGCTTTCACCAGACACTGAATCTGGCACCTTGAACTTGGACTGCTTAGCCTTCAGGAATGTGAGAAATTTTTGTTGTTGATAAGTCACCCAATCTATAGTAGTTTGTTATGGCAGCTCGAATGAACTAAGACAGCAGATCAGGGCCTTCACATAGTAGGTGTTCAATAAATATGAGATGGTAAGGCCAGAAACCGAGATGGTGGCATAGGTAAACACCTGAAATTGCTGCCTCACACAACCCCTTCAAAACTACAAATAAAAGACAAAAGGACATCATCCAGAACCACAGGAAGTGGAAATTCTACAACTAGAAGGAAAGAGAAAAGCATACCAAGACTCAGAGGAGGTAGGAAGTAAAGTGCAGAGGTACGGAGGTACACGCAGAAAGGGCTGGCAACTGAGGGTGCGGTTGTCTTTTACAATCAGGAGGGGATCGCTTCTCGGCCTTTTGGCTAAGATCAAGTGTAGAATCAGGAGGGAGACACAAGCTCCCGACTGCTCTGAACTCCAGTTCTGGGCGAGTCTCTGGGGACCCAGACTCATACCGGGAGAAACTGGACTGTCTGGCAGCGGGCGAAACTCAAGGGCAGCTTTCTCTCAGAGGTGCTTGCAGGGATTACCGAGGGACACTGAGACCCAGGGCCTCTTAGGGCAGGGCTGAGATCAGCCATAGCTGTTTGCTCCGCCCTGTTGATTCCCTGAGACCCTGCCCCACCCAAGCTGTGCGCAGAGGTTTTTGGATATGAATGGCCTGGCCCTTTGCAATCTAAAATTACCTAACAGACCCGATC